TTACAATCTTCAAGATTCTGGAGCAGATTACAATCTTCAAGATAACGAAGCAGATTCATCATGTACCCGTTTTATCATGCAATTATCTCATGACGAACCAAATAAATTATGCACCCGTTTCATGTTCCATTTTTTCTACTAAACGGATCAACTACACCATCACTGAAACGTGGTTCACCATGAAACGATTTCATATTACTCATGAATCAATTACAACATGAACCAGTTTCATTTTCATGAAACCTGTTTCATTAACACTATTTTTTTTAATTTGAACCATAATTTACGATTTCATTCCATAATGCAATTCAATCTTCAAGACTCGTTTGCAGATTCAATCTCATAACAATATATCAAATTCAAATTTTTAATATTATAATATAATTAAATATTTAAATGTTACCATTTATATAACTTCCTTTATTACGTTTCCTTAATTAAGATTTATTAATAACTTTTATATTTAATAGAAAATATTGTAAATGACCAAAATACCCTTATTGATTAAATTTAATTAGAAAAAAATAGAATTTTTCTATTGGTCGAAATTGGTTTACACGGTTTCTTAAAAATGTACGGTTTGCATTTGAACGTGCCCCTATATATATATATATATATATATATATATATATATAGGGGAGCGATCAAACCACTTAATTTGTACAAACCCATGCAAACTTCATTCAACCAATCATAATTTTTCATTTTGTTTATCTTTTTGTAATTATGAGAGGTTGATTAATCATTTTTATTGTGGAGGGTGTTAATCATAGATATTATCATCTTCATTATTTTAATTTTACAAAAATACATGAAACAGTTTCATTAATTTTAGAGAAATACATGAAACAGTTTCATTAAGTATTATATGAAACAATTTCACAATCATATATGAAACAAATTCATCAAAAAAAAGTATTATATGAAACAATTTCACAAGATTAAACAATTTCATGAAAAAATTCATAAGATTAAACAATGAAATCGATGGATGAAGGTGGTTTGCAAAGTTTACACAAATGAAGGCGGTTTTCATTTGATCACTCATATATATATATATATATATATATATATTTGTATAGTCTATGAAAGCCCATTGGGGATCCTCATTTCTTGTTCAAAGAGGGATAGAGATGCAATCATATTCTTCGATGGGGATTAAGGAATTTGGGACGAATATGTTTATTTTTTCTATTAATTAATTTAATGACTTATTTGTTCAGTTATTAAATATTAATTAATCATAATAGTGTTTATTTCTTAAACCAGATCTTGTTATAACGAGTTAAATATAAATGGAAAAGCTTTTATATACGAGTGTTTCACATATTTTTGGACGAAGGAAATATGGGCAATTCTAATAATTTTACAAATTAAAGTTGAAGGTTGGTTTTACATTTACGATGAATCTTAGAGCATTTGTAGTGCTCAAGTTTTTAAAAGACTTGATCTATTTGTCACATCAGATTTTCACTAAATAGAAATCATCTTCAAATACTTACTCCAATGCTCAGTTTTTCAAAAGCATTTTTTGTATGTTTATTTCATTTTTGATATACATAATAGGGGGTATTTGGGATTGTTTATTTGAAACAACTTATGATTTTCTATAAAGATATAAAATAAAAATTGAAAAATGATAGAAGTAAATTAAAACCACAAAAGTATTTAAAGGGAAACTAAAAGATTTTATTTCTTAAAACGAGAACTAAATTTAAAGTTCCGATTGGTCACAAAATTCGCTTAGGATAACGACGCCGTTCCATGAATAGGAAAACACAAGCTGTGGTCGCAACTTTTCTCATGGCCTCGGAGTAATTTGTTGGGTTTTATTTATTTATTTTTGATACATGAGAAATAGATAAATGACCTAATAATAATGGTTCGATATAAGTTATATATAGTCTTGTATTCTAGAGTTTTACTTTATTTATTTATGACCCATTAGGAATAGATAAATGATCCAACAATAGTGTTTCGATACAAGTTATATATAGCCCTGTATCCTAAGATTTTTGTATCAGAAGAAAAAGTTCACAAAATACAAAAGTGAGAGAAAAGTTCAACTGTACTTTTCAGACAAGTGCAACCGTGCCGTTTTGTCTATTCCCGGAGTTTGAACCGTTGGATCATCATGATTTTTGGACATTAGCTTCACGACATCGTTATTTACTTGAATAGTGAGATTGATTTTGGAGGTTCAGGAGTCGCCCTTTCTCGGTTCGACAGATTATTGGTTTATGGTTGATGTTTCTTCCTTTTTTTTTGCCTTTTGGTTTGATTTCATGCTTCTTGATGATTTGTTTCAAGAGTATGACATTGTGTGCCTCTGGTTCTATCTAGAAAAGACTTTTGTATTGTTTATTGGTGGTAGTGGACTTTAAGCGGTTTAAGAGTCATGTGGTTTTACTCTCGCCTTGAGAGGTTTCCACGCTAAAATCTATGTGTACATGCGTTATTATTTGTTGCTTATTTCTGATTTAGAGGTTGATTATCATTGCATTTAGTATATCCTATTTGTTTTCATCCTCAAAGCTTCGTATAAGTCGAGAAACCTTTGTCCAACGAAGGTTTATTCCACATTTGTTGTTACCTTTGTGACGCATTTTTCCTACCATAATGAAGTTGCAATATGGTGGCTGGAAAGCCACGATTAGGGGTGTTAATGATTAGAGCTTGAGTTATTGAAATTAAGCTCGTCTATTTCGAGCTCGAGCTTAATAACTTTTCAGTTTGGGTTGGTCTCGAACTCAAAATAAAATCCGTTTAACTTAACGACATCAATATTTGACTCGGCTCACTGGAAAGTCCAATTAAACTTTTCAAGTCGAGCCAAAACGGTGTATAGCCATTTGAGAATACACGTTTTCAAGCCAAACATGTTCATAATTCATACAATCAACGTACAAAAATTATCGATCAGCTGAACATACAAAAAAAAAGTAGCAAGCTTTGAAATGTAAAAAAACATTACCCCCAAATTTAAACAGATTTTGTAGCAAGCAAGAAGCATACATCGCAATGGTGTTAAAAACAATAGAACAAAGTATATATGTGTATCAATCAAGATCAAGAGGCCACAAACGACTTTCTAACCGCCTTCGTTCCTCTGTACTTTAATGGACTCCAAACCAACTGTTTCCGTTGCAAAGCAACAACCGTTGGATGCTTCGGCTTCCATGAACCAACAACTTGGGAAGAAGCCGGTGGGCTCCCCATAAACTTACTGCTCCTCACCGGTGTTGCCTCAACCGTCATTCCACCCTTCGATTGTGGTGACTGCACCCTTGTCGTCCGCCACACTCGTTGTGGGTCCCACACGAACGATTGCCTCCCCACCACTCGATCATTCCTCATCCGTGATGTGCCGCTGATCGGAGTGCTCATCATCATGCTGCTGCTAGAACTCGATTCAGAATGAAGGGTGGTGGCAATGGATGCCCGTCTTTTTGGCTTCAGAACCTGATTTCCCATTGGAGCAGCGGGTTTTAAAGCAAACGATCCCCGTCTGGCTCTTGACGGCGCTTTCATGTTTGATCCTCTTGATGTATTATTCTCCTTATCCTCGTTTGAGAGCTGAGGTGGAGGCATAAAGGATTTGGGTTTTTGTGATTGGGCAGGAGACGGATGAGCTGGCATGACGTTAGTGATTCTTCTGAGCGGAAGCCTCAACTTTGAAGAAGGGGCTAACGGGGGTCTTTTCTCCGATATTGTACTCAGACCTTGTTTTAAAGAAGAAAGTGAAGAGTGTGAAGAAGCCACAGCAAGAGCTCTATTCTCCTGTTTCTGTCTCGTTTTCCGCTCTTCTGCTAACTGGTTTTCAAGATCTCGTACCTACACAATAACAGTAATCATTTGTAACCTTTTGAGTCTGTTTCGTTAACAAGTGCAAGGAACCAAGTTGTGAGGGGGTAGACTAGTCATTAACAATTTGGTTGTTTTTCCATTAAGCCATGTATGAATTAAGTTGTCCATATAGATTAAGGTTAATTGTTGTTTGTTTGTTGTGCTAAATAAACCGTTTGAATGATAGATACCCCTCTGTCGAGGTGTTTGAGCTTTAGACCAAAAAAACAACATGGTATCTAACAATGTCGTGCCTATCAAAACTAATTTTAAACAACATACATCAATCTTGTTGCTCACAAGTTAAACTGTATGTACCTTCTCTTGCAGACTTCTACATATATGTTCTCTTGCAGAAAGACGTAGTTGCAAGGACTGTAAACTATCCTGCAACTTTTTGGTTTCTTTCTCATCGTGCTTTGCTTTCTCTGCCTATTTGACATAGCAAAGTAATTAAAAACGAAAAAGGAAACAAAATTAGATGGAAGCAGAGTAGTTAGTTGTTGTTATTGCAATTTGAAGAGTATTTTGTATGCAAATTACCAGCTGCTTGTACTTAAACAGCTCACTGGTGTCTGTTTGTTTGCGAGCAGGGCCATGCTCAACGCCTCTCACACGACTTGCAAAATTCAGTGAGCAAATGGTTTCACCCAGATCTGCTGAGCTCGGGCTAATTTGGACGAACATTAGGGTCTTGCAATCACCTCCTGCACCATTTTAAGATAGTTTCACAAGTGCAACAATTGGGATCTAATATCCACCATAAGATGAATTACAAAATAACAATTGGGTCTAATACAAAAGGGTCATTGACCAAGCAGTATCCGGGTTACCGTAGAGTCCAGCCTCTTAGGAGGTTAAGGGTTCAAACTTCACCAAATGCGAGGAGTGTGTATGAGTATTTTTCGTATATAATATTATATTTTTAAAGAACATATGCTATTTAACCAAGAAACCTCACCTAGAGAACTCTGCAGAATATGGGTAAGCTTTGAATTCCTGATTTTGTCAAAAAGTAGATGGAAATTAGATGATAATGATGCTAACAGCGGTGGTAAGAGGTGAGGGTGTAGGACGCGTACCTGTAAGGAATGTGAGCCGTCTTTGAAGCAAGAGCTGAAATTACATCTCCTAAAGATGACAGAGATTTATTTATGAACTGGGATTCCTTCAGTCTTTCACCTTCCACCTCAATCTTTCCCACTCGCTCACTTCCTGCTAAATCCACAAGCCAAAGGTGGCTTCTGGTCTGCTGTCCATTCACCAAATTCTTCCCAAGAACAGTTAATCGCAATAAGCTACACCACAAGATTTTTGGTAAGCAATTGAAGGAAAGGCTGAAGTGATGATTCTTTTCTATAGCTCACAGAGGATCAAAAGGTTATGAAAATTTACCAGTGAGAACGGCTACTAAGCTCATTAGCATTGGTTGAACCAACAGATCGTACACGACTCCCCCTCTTAAGCAGTTCCCAAACTTCATCCGTCTTGTAGACAGGCACCTCAGATAGTCCAGGAACTTCTTGGGTTCCTTCAGCTGATTGTTTTATCTCCAACCTGAATACAGCGATATCAACCACACAGTCAACCTCTTTTAAAGTCTACTAACCACTTTCATCTGCAACCTGATTCTTTTTTACGTTCTTTAAGATGTTATTTGAAATAAGCATCACACATCGCTTGTTCTCAAAGGATAATAACACGACTCCATATATACACATTTCATTTTCTTTTGTCCTAGAAGCAGTAAGACCTTATCTATCACACTCTTCAAAATGGCAACAATCATGGGGCAAATTGAATAGCCATATTGGTACAACTTAGGCGGGGGGGGGGGGGGGATTAAAACTTATGCGACTCAAATGTGGAACAAAAATACAGCAGAATACAATATACATATTCAATGTACATGAGTGTCTTGCAATCAGCAACTTATGCATACGTTCTTGTTATTTACAAGTAAAGGCACAAATTAAGTAAGAGAATCTGCCAATAAGCTTACTTTTTAATGTTTCCATCTTCAACCAAGAGGTCTCTTATTTTCTCATTGTAGACCTCCAGCATGCTTACAAACAGTTCATATTTCATAATATCACTCCTTTCTTCAGATACCCTGAATAATTCCTCCAAGGCACGGTAGTTAACTCCCCTATTTTCATTAGTGCCTTCCATTGTAAATGTCTTCCCAGTTCCAGTTTGCCCATATGCAAAGATACAGACATTGAATCCATCAAGTGCTGACACGACTAGAGGCGAAGTTTGTGCAAAAACAGCCTCTGCAAACATAGTAGAAACAATTGCTTATAAGCATGAGAAGCAAGAAAATTAAATGAGAAAGAAATAATTAGTAGAGTCCGAAAAATACCTTGGTTGTCCTCAGGTTTGAAGATATGATCAAACTTGAATTGCTTCTTTGACGAATCAGATCCTGTTATCTTTAGCTCATTTTCTTGAGCTGATTCAAAATCAACCACTGATGTTGAACCCTTGGCAATCTCATCGTCATTTAAAGGTCTACATCTGCAAAAAACCCTTATATTTCCTTTGAGTTCAATCACTTCATTGTACAGCCGTCTTCTCTCTGAGCACTCTAGTTGGCATCTATTCTTCAAGGCTTGGCATTCTTCTTGATACTTCTTCTTCAAAATCTCATGTTCTTCGCCTTATGGTCAGAACATGATAACAAACAATTAAATCATGTAAGCTAAAGACAATTAGCAAGCAGGAAGAAAACCAATAACAAATTGAAGTGTAATCAAAGAGCTTACCAAGGCTCTGAAGAGCAGTAAAAACTTCAGAGCCAGGAAAAGAATCAGCAGTTATGATTTTCACTTCGTTGCAAAGTGCCATATGTTCTTTTCTTAAATTCTGAAACAAAACAAGCCCAACAGCTTCTAAATAAGTATCTAGAATATTAAGTAAGATGATTATTTAAATAACAAAAGAAACAAAGGCCTTGTAATTCATACCGCCACTTTGTTGCTCAATTTTTCGAATTTTTCAAATATAGGAAGGGTTTGCTGCTCTTGCTCAGATTGCATTTCACTGTTACTATCATCCCCATTGCATTCGAGACTTCCTGAAAGTTCCCAAACAGAAATAATCCAAGTGAACAACAATCATCAACAATACTAACAGCAGATCTGCTGTGTGTGGTTTTGTATATGAATGTGCGTGTGAGAGAATAGAATTGAATTAAGAATCGCCAACTGGAATTCATCCAGCTTGTTTTCTCAGCTTATACAAATGAAATATTCAACATTTATCAAGCTTGGATCTAGATAACAGAACTAATAACCAAAGAAACTAGACGTTTAGGCTGTGAAATTTAACCTGTATCACAGTTTGGGGATTCTTCTAGGGTTTGATCCGGATCAAGTTTCAAAAGTTTCATGTTCATGGTTAGGGTTTCTAGTTCTGGGCTTTTATCTGTGAAAATTCAAGAAATAGAAATCAATCACAAAGAATACAATCAAGCATTCGATCAATATACTTAGACATAACCTCAATAATAACGATAAAAAACTATAATCACCTGCCATGGATCTCTGCTTTGTCAGCCGTAAAATTAGAAATTGCTACTGAAAATCTTCGAAGAGAACACGTCAAATTAGAGAAATCGGTGAAGAACAAAAGGCTATCGAAGGGAGAGAGAGAGAGAGAGAGAGAGAGAGAGAGCGTATCAAGAAATTTAAACGGCCAAGAACATGAGTGTAAAGGGGGGATTTCAATTGATTTTGAATTTGAAGAAATCTAAGCCGTTGATTCAAGAAGCGAAATCCCAACGTTTATATTTTTTTCAATTCTAGGGCTAATTTCGTTCTAGCCCCTAAGGTTTTAAGATTTTTACTTTGATCCAAAGATGTTTTAAATTAGTCTAAAAGCGACCCTTTTTTTCTCTTTCATGTCATTCCGATCCTCGTTCATCCATTCATTTAGGCATTGTTTTTTTTTCCATTTTCAGCTCTTAATTGCCACTTATGTCTGATTTGTTCAGACGTTTTATAATTCAAACTGTTTGATTTTTCATTATTTTCAGAGTCTCTTATCTATAAGAGGCTTTGAATAAATAAAAGGTAAACTAATATCTTAATTCCGCTTATTTTTCATTTTCTTTTATTCTCTTTGGTTATTGCTTCTTTATCCACTAAGGACGTCGCCGTCCTTTCATCACCTATGTGAAATGGAAGCCCCCACCTTCTCTCTCTAGATCTCTCTCTCTCTCTCACTATATATATATATATATATGTGTGTGTGTGTGTGTGTGTGTGTGAATTTTGACGTATAGGTTAACTTAGAAGACTAATATGAAATAAGAACTTCTATCGATGATTTATCATCTATCAAAAGTATCGATCTTTCCACAAACAAACTCATTGGTGTCAATCCCGATCGCATAGAAGTCTGAAAGATATCCAAAAGGTTCTTATTGTGTTTCATCTGTTAAGCAATTGTTGAGATGAATTTCGACAATGATAATTTTATGAAAATCAAGAGAATTTTGCAAAAATTTTGCACATGGTTTTACAAAAACAAACTATTGGTTCAGACTTCAGACGTTTGTCAATTTACAAAAACAAACAATCTTATTAATTCAGCTTTCAGACTTTAATACCACCTCTTATTAATCAGAAGTAAAATAAGACTTCAGACTTCAGCACCTCTTAAAAAACAAACTCGGCCTTACTCTTTTTCAAGTGTGTAGAACAAACTCCAATGAGCATGATTGGCTTAACAACAATCATAATGTCATATACTTTCTAAAACAACAATTTCAACAGTTATGTTAAAAACTAAAATAGAATTTTCGAGATTAGACAATTTTTTTTACTCTAACAACTATGTTAAATTAGCGAAAATAAAAAGAGAGCATATGAAATTTTTTAAATTTAAAGAAATTTTTTAAATTTAAATAAATTTTTAAAACTTTATATTAGAAGAGAAAAAATAATATTGTAATTATTTCTCAACAATAAGAGATGTTAAAATAAATGAGAAAATAATATAGTAGGAGGGTAATGAAAATAAATGTTTAAGGTGAGATAAATAATATTTTATTAAAATATATTGAATATTTTAATACTATAACTGTAAAAATTGAATAATTGTTAGAGTTGAATGTATTGTAGAGGCAATGGTTGGACCAGAGGCTGCTGCAATGGCTAAGTCTGGAAGAAGACCAGAGGCCATGAAGGACCAACCCTTTGAAACCCACAGATATGAGCATAGCATTAATTAACCTCAAAATATGGGATATTAATTTCTACGAAAAACTTCGAAATATCCGTTCTATTTTAGTGATAAAACCACCCAAAACACAATTCCAAACCGGATATAACGGATTTTTTTACTTACAACCCGAATTAAGTAACAAAAGAATACGAGACAAGACCATATATAAGCTACACATACTACAACTATGAGATACGGTAATAAGCTACTATTTACCCAAAAGCAAGATCGATATCTTCAAGTTTCTCGATAAATCTTCAAGTCAAACAACGGGTTCTTTCTATTTATCCGTCTTCTTTCCTGAGAAAGGTTGCCACTTAAATGGTAAGCCAACGCTTAGTAAGTTAAATAGTTAAGTATTACATATCAATATCACACATGTTTATAAACATATATAATAAACTCTTATCAATAAAAGAGTTCAAGACATCATCCAGATATAAACCGAGACTTACAAGAAACCGAGTGAACTATTACGTACCGGATGCCAAGATCATAGGATTCCATATTCAAATCACCATAGTATACCATATCATTGATGCTCAATACAACAAGGAGATATGTTGATCCCAGATCTCTCAATAACACTTATAATCTAGTTGTGAATAACCAAATTATAATGATTTTACGAAGAAAATTAAGAAGACTCAAAAGTAATATATGAATATTAAAGAACAGTTTGAGCTTCAAAGGTTTTACTTTATTGATAATAAAACGTAAAACACAAAGAGGACTTCTCACGTATGCACGCTTTTTACAATAGACCTAGTCGTCTATTTATACTAGTTAGCTAATGCTAAGATAAACTAACTATTGCTATTTTCTAGCAAATATTCTAGCTAACTAATAATGTTTATCTTTCACATGGATAATCACTATTTACAAGATAAACTATAATTTCAGCTGTTGATT